CTGCGCAACCGCGTGGAGTGGACGTCTATGGAGACAGCTAAGTCTCTAGGTTGCTCTTGTTACATTGTCTTTGTAAAGAGCAATCATWCTGATCAGTCATTCGAACAAGTATAGAGTGCATTAGAAGCATAAAGACATCTAGTACTGCTTTTCCTCGAAAGGCCGAAATAGGTAAGTAATTGCGCTTTAGGAAGATATAGGGTTTGAGTATTGTAAGCCGTTTTGGTAATTTTCTGGTTGCCTCATTTTAGCCAAAAATACAAAATTGTTTTTGTTTTCATCTAGATATATTTAAATTAAAAACTTGAAAAWACTAGAAGGTGAGAAAGAACAATCTAAAAAGTGTCATGAAATATTTTCAAAATACAAAAACATTTAATGTKTACCCGAAGTTTATGGAAGTCAGATATCAACTGCTCTCATTATCCACATCTGGTTAAATGTTTCATTTTAAAACATGGACTGCATGGGAATGAAAAAATTAAGTCACCAGTCAGAGATTTGTTAAACTCTAGACACACAAGAAACATACAGCAAAAATCAAGCCACACCTCAGACATCTGATAACATTATAAGAAGAATTGACCACAAAAACTAAAACTTGCCTAAAGGATCCCAAGATGTTAAATAAGAGCTACAAAAGGAACCGTTTATGATTTCCTTCACTTGTAAAACCTTTAAAATATATATTCAAAGAGCTGAAATAAAATCAAAAAGACGCAAAAAGATAAATGACAGACCTTCAATACTGAACTCGAGAAAAGAAAAATGTTCCATTTTTTCAGCCTACAAATATGCACTTCAAAGTTTGATATATTTTGATCCATTCACAAAAGCAGTTGTGTATATCTTACAAGATTTTGTTTACGCTAGAAATTAACAGGTAGTAATAATTTAAAGAGTTATGATATGTTGTTGCTATTAGCACAGTATTCTCATTATAACAAATTACCTTGGCAATAAAGAAGAATATTCTGTTTGAAAGATCAATGACGATATTCATCYCACAACAAAAGATCTACATTGTCAAGGCAATACTCTTTAATATTTGCGATTTTTTTCACGTGATATACAGCCATATAGTTATAATGACATACTGTAAACTACTGACTTCATTCGATTAAGGTCCTACATGTTGCAGAATTGGAAGTTTCTCATAGTATAATTGTTCATGCAATATTACAGCATAAGGTTTGGATACAGTCACAGATTAAACAACAAAAATTGTCAATACTATTAGCAAAACACTGATAGACAGGCCTTTGCTCTGGAAAAAATCGCGGGCTATAAAGGTTGTAAATTTGATGTAAATATGAATGATGTAAGTGTCCAAAATTCTGTAAATTTCATGGAAATCATTTACATCAAATTTACAGAATTTTGGACACTTAGATCATATTTACATCAAATTTACAACCTTTATAGCGCGCGAGTTAGCGAGCTGGATAAATAAAATGAGACTCATCAAGAAAAATGGATGTGGCTTAGTGGAGAGCTCATTATGAAATATGTTTTATTTCTCAGATAACGCGATGTCACTGTCGTTCATACTGATTACCGCAAGTCTTATATCCGTGGGATGCATTATCGAATGCAGTGGAAGCTATGCAGGTAACAATATCTGATATTAYCTCTGAATGATGGGAACAGAAACGGTTGAACTCAAGATATTTKAATRCTACAAATAATGTGACCGGAARAGCACATGTTCCCTTCCTTTTCAGGTGCGGCAGAGGAGATCAACACAAAGTCATATGAAGGTGGAAGTGGCCCTGGAGAAGACAGTACTGAAGCTCCTWCTCCAGCTRCACCAASTGGATATGGAAGTGAGGCAGAAGGAGGCGGTGATGAAGTTCATCTTCCAGYTGAACCAAGTGGATATGGAGGTGGRACAGAAGGRGGCGCWGAAGCTTCCACTACAGCTGCACCAAGTGGACATAAAGGTGGGCCAGGAGAAGGAAGTACTGAAGCTCCTACTCCAGCTGMACCAACTGGATATGGAARTGAGRCAGAAGGAGGCGGTGATGAAGTTCATMTTCCAATTGAACCAAGTGGAYATGGAGGTGGGACAGAAGGAGGMGGTGCTGAAGCTYCCACTACRGCTGTACCAAGTGGATACAAAGGTGAGACATTGAAAGGCAGCACCGAAGCCCTTACTTCTGATGCGCAAAGTGACTATAACGTAAGGACAGGAGAAACATATGTCCAACCCTCTAGTCTCTACTATAGTCACTGCATCAACTGTATTATTAATTTCTAAGTGCTAGAAATGCATAAAAAAAACAATCACCAAAAAGGCATGCTATATATAGTTTGTTTCCAACATTTCCAACAATATCAAATATAGATTTCGGTAATTCCAAGTGGGAATTKTTTTATATAATCTTTAAAATCAAATTGCATCTTGTTTGATATCCCAGCACGCCGTAGATGCTATCCCAAAGCACAGCGATATGACAAATCTAGAAGACTATGCAAATGTTCGTCCGATGGTAGTAAATGGGATTGCTTTCGACAGAGGAAAGAATTCACTACAATGACGAAAAAAGAAAAGAAACGATACATTCAAGTATACAGAGAAATATCAAGACCAAGCAAGTATGATTCCTTTGAATACGATCAAGATATYAGTCTGCTAAGAGCAATATTAGTCTCAGGAGCACAATACGGATTAAAACCAAATACATACGCAAAATTGTAGCAGCTTTTTTACCTAAAATCAGTCTTTCCARCAATACTCCTGGAAAATACTCCTCGTAAAAAAAATGAAATATTTTGACGTATTATTATACCATGTCACGTATTAAAAAACTAAAACTATAAGTTTTAACAAAAAAATATAAACACAATGCTGTAAAAAAGGGAAGATGGAAAAATGTAAAAGGAACTCAACCATCTTAAAAAAAATTGAGTTTATTCACTGTCATAAGAGTTTCACACACGGTAAATATATTTATACAATCTTGTTTGTTTTTGATAGCGAATACCACAAAGAGTTCAGTGAMCTGATCGCAATCCACAAAGCATTATTCATGACCTCAATTCATGAYCGAAACAATTTYCTGGCATGGCACCGATGGTATCTTCTTCAGATTGAAAAYCTACTYCGAAAAATAGATTGTCGCGTCACTCTKCCATACTGGGATTGGAGCGTGSKYTCAGGWGATCCTTGGATTGAAGAACTTTGGAATAATGGAACTTACACTGGGTTTGGTGGAAACGGCGCTAAAGAGCTCGGGTATTGTGTACCAAGCGGCCCATTCTCCAAAAGTTTAGACTGGCAACCTGCTTCATCAAATCAACGGGGGTGTGTTCAAAGATATTTTCGTGGAAACCCACCAGACATTGTCGCTGTAGAAGAACTGCTTAAGACTCCAGCTGACAACGTTACTGACTTTGAGTTGGAGCTCCGTATTATATTCCACAATAAAGTACATTGTGTCATTGGTGGTACAATGTGTTCTCTTGACTCAGCATCAGCACCAGAGTTTTTCTTGCACCACGCCTTTATTGACAAGGTAAGGCCTACRKCTGTGTTCKCTAAGAATACAGAAAAAGGCAATAGGACGAGATTTTCTCTAAAAATAAAAAAAAATGATATACATTAAATTCCCATACACCTTAATTTTTTTTATAGCTTTGGGATGATTGGCAACAAAAGAGTGAAGATCATAGAAATGCATTCTTTTATGAATTAACTGAAGTACTTCCAGGTACTGGTGGCCTGTTACCCAGAGATTTGCTTGACAACGCGAACTTACCAGGRGGTGTAAAAGTAGAATATTTGGATATAAACGATACAGAGACGCAAACTGTGCGGAAACGTTTGAGAAGTAAGTTATATATTTAACTTTAATTTGCATGCACACGTAAATGGGTAGTTACGTGCGCCATGTTGCCATTAAATAGAACTAAGGCAATAGCATTGCTACAATATTAAAAAAACATATCGATAAAAGGAAACAATTGGRGATGTCCGGAAAAAAGGAAGTCTTTACAAAATCACGTAGAAGGACGACCTTTAGATGTGCATAAATAAACACGTTAACTGGGAGAGAAAAGTAATGCTAAATTCATGCCTTTCGTTTCTAGAACTAAGTAGTGAAGAGCTTATGGAAATTTCAAGAACTGACTTCGAGGATAAGGATGAAGGCGTTGATGAAATTTCAATGGAAGTATTTAAGGTGAARCCCTATGAAAAAAAGAGAGCGAAAAAAAGAATAGAAAGATTGAGACCCAAGAACAAAAAGGGAAGCACAATGATGAAAAACCGCCGTGATAAACAGCGAGGATTTGATATAAAGGATTTGGAAAAGGTCGAAAAGCTGCACCGCAAAAACAAGAGACCGAAAAAAACGTCCCACAAATCATGCTGGAAAAACATAAAAGGGCCAGGAAGTAAAAAGCGTCCCAACAGGAAAAACAAAAAAGGGTCAGGAAGAAGAAAGCGTCCCAAAACTAAACCCAAGACAAGACTTCCATATCCGACCCCATTCAATGACAAAAGTACTAAAACTCCTACTATCACCGCATCAAGTGCCTATGGAGGCATCACTGAAGCTCCTTCTACAGCTGCGCCAAGTGAATATGGAAGTGGAACAGGAGAAGGGAGTACTGCACCTCCTACTACAAATGCTCCAAGCACCGAAGCTCCTACTATTGGGTCCTATTATGGTCGTTGATAATGACAAGAAAATACTCGCTGATTTCTTGATAAAACTTATTTTAAGTAATATGGATTCTTGTGGTTTGATTAGGTTGGCTGGCGACATAATCTTTYTAAGGCTCAAAACAAAATCAGCAAAAAACAATAACAATAATAGTAATGAAACATTTGAGGGTAATTCAGTAAATAAAAGGAAGTTATATATCCTACTTGAATTGGACTAGTGCACCATTCAGCCGAAAGAGAACTTATTTTATGCAGGCCTGTATCAGCCCTTTCAAAAGTTTAGTGTTGTCCTCCTTTTAAAATACTGAATTTGTAGGCATACAAATTAATAGCGAAGTTTATTCAGATTCACAGCCTTTGGGAGTAATTAATCCGTCAACGACTTATGAAATAATAGTTATCAAAAATAGATCGTAAATCAAGTTTTTTCGTCGATTTCCGTCAAAAGCGAGTTTCCATAAGAATTCATGACACCATGCATATAAAAATTTGTTTGTTGAGGATTTGTACAATTGCTAATTTAGTCACTTAGGGATACAGACTTATTCTCGTCCTAAAATGCTTCATTTTTTTATATAGGAACTTTTCATTCACAGCTTATCTGCTTACGTAGCGTTGTTCGCTATGTAAAAAGATAAGCTGTGAATGAAAAGTTCCTACATCAAACAATGAAGCTTGGTAAGTCTGTACTTGTCTCGATAAAAGATTTATCAGACGTCCTAAAATGATTTTCTAAAAAATCATGGCTAAGAGACGTCATGTAGCAGTATTTAGAAAATGAAGAGAAACCAGGGTTAATTCTCCATTACTGTTATTCTTAGGCGATGTTTTCATGAGATAGGGTGGTGCCTCTAGGAAGGCAAACTCTTTTGTTTAACAACTCCCACATACGAGCATCCCCTTATCAACGATGAGTACTTTGCTTGTTTGTTATACAATTCCTGTCAATTTATTGAAGATGATACAGATCATAGATATCTTTGGAAACAATTTTATATACCGTGCTTTTTTTATCCATAAAAACAACAGCAATTGAGAAATGTGAGAGTATTATAGACAGCTATTCGATAATATATGAATATTTTCTAGATTAATCTATGATGAGCAAATATGGAGCCAACATTTCAAATGATATGTAGTGATAGATCGCTGTGGAAACAGAAAGTCTCTTAATTACTCCCGTGGATTGCGCAAGTCATCTTTGTGACGTCCTTTGTGATATATAAACGCGAATTGCATYAATKTCACTACTCTAATCACCGATTCAAACAAMCATATAGGGTCTTTKAGTCTAAGGCATCTACTGGCTTTTYCAGAGAAGCCAACTAGGTAAGTTACTTAGGTTTTATCTAATTTCGTAGTTATAGCGTTTGAGATAAAAGTTATGCGCAGTTTTCATTAACATCTATTCTCTATTCCTTTCATTTACACATAATTATTTCACAAACATTAGTCACATTATAGAAATAGAATCTTTTCATCTAGTAAAGAGGAATACATTCAAGAGACAAAAGAAAGCGATCATCCTGAGAGATCTTCTTTCGTCTTTTTCAACTTTTAATCTTTTTACTTCTAAACAAAACAACTTTAAAACTATAAAAGGTCATCGTCATCATCAAACACTTATTTTATTTTTTTCCTCTTTGCATTTGTACACTGAAAGTAGAATTAAAAATAATTCAAAAATACAAGAGCGTGCAAAAAGAAAAARATAAATGAAAACATAACATTTGATGAACACGTGGCAAGTGCATTAGATTAATAACAAAACGGCGTTTTTCGATGTCCGAATATCGACCGTGCCCTCTCAAAATAAAATCTTTACATTTTGCAAAAGAATCTTTAATAATCAGTGATAACGTTTTACTTTATTTAKAGAATAGGATCGGAATCATTAAGATAAAAAAAATCAGCAAAAATTATAGAACATCCTCAAAGATCTTTAAATTTGAAAGGACGATAATTGCAACAGATTTTCGTTTAATCATCACTKAAACCMAMAAAMRKYCYWAAAMYTWWWAAACGAAAAAATMAAAAACGTTAAATTCCAACGCMGCACTGACTACGGCCAACAAAKAAAGGGACAACTAAAAGAAACGTTCCGTTATACCAAAGAMGACTAGGAAAAAAAATTMTTTAAAGYAGATTTGCATATTTTACCACGATTTGTTTGTCATATAAACAATAAATCAAAGATTCACGCCATATTGTGATTGTGCTAGAAATCACTAGGCAGTAATTGGTCATATTGGATACATATACATTGTCAAGGTAATTTGTAATAATGATTCGAATGAATAAAACGTGTAAATGCTGYCGGGAAAAAAGGAAAAAAGGAAAAATATGTTTCGTAAATTTTTTTAAATCTTCAGCATCCCACCTCTCTTTTCGATCTTTTTTGGTAAAAATGAGATATTGAGGTCAGAAATGTGACCACATACAGACATTTCGTAATAAATCAAGGAAAATTACCGGCAATTTTTTGAATGACTGTATTTAAACCAACATGGACACTAGGCACGTAAAAAAATATTCCATTGTTTTTCTTCTTTCAGGGACGATGCGTTGYGCAGTTATATTGACTGCAATAATTATTTCAGTGAGCTGCATATGTGAATGCAGTGGAAGTTATGCAGGTAGCTATATCGCTTCCTTTACAAC